TTTTGCTGCACCACTGTCTCTCTGCGATGCTCATATGTCGCAGAAAGATATGCTCGTATGTTATCAGAGTGATCAGTTGGAGTGCCTTACACACTGACTCACTATTCCTTCTTCTAATTGGCAAAAGGTTCAGTGTTGATCTTTAAACCCAAGTTGTGTCTTAGTCTGCTGTCTAAACAACTGGAGAGTCTTGAAAAGCCTGTTCTCCTCAGACCTGCAATCAATAGCTCTCTGCATCAGGGCCCCTCCGGCTTGGAATGTGAAAATGATCTCGATTACACGGCAAAGGGCCAAATCAGCATCTTACTGAATGTAGGCTTTCGTAGTGTACACTACAGTATATTGCAGAATCCTTAGAAGGGCTGCAGCCTATACACCTTTTATAGAGAATAGAATCATTGATAAAGACACCTGCTGAAATGAAATAACCCAGTATAGCTGATACAGTATCTTTCTTTGTGTTTCCTTTTTCTCTTTCTCAACCTCTCAGTCTTTCAACTAGGCAGGTCAAGTACCTGCTGCCAGCTGCAGTCACTATCTCAGTGTTTTTATACAATGTCTTTAGTCTGAGGTTTTGATGTTACAGCCTTTCATGTGTGAGAGACACACACTCTGTCTGTGTTATTGTGTCTAGAATTGATGTTCTTAAGCATGTGCCACTGGTCCTCAAGTCTCAAATCACTACAGTACCAATGGTAGGGATTAAACACCCTAAACCAGCCACTGAATAGTGAAATGTTTTTATTAGAGCGAACACCTGCATACCAGGCCTTGGTTGCACAAAGGATACTCTTTATAAAACTTTAGGCATAGTGGCTGGAGCCTGGCTGCAGGCTATTGAATTTAAGCTTACTATTGTAGTACAGAGCCAGTAGTCTGTTGAAAGGCTATATTTTTATATAGCGGATTAACTTAATCCCTGAGATATAGCCCTACTGCCATGGCCTTATAGCAGCTCTGCTCTGAGAATATCTACAGTGCAGGCTGCAGAGTTAACGGTCAAATTCCTTTTGCACTGGTTTGCTATAATTGTCAGTTTGCAATTCTGTGCTGTCACACCAAGCCCAAACCCTGTGAGACAGCGTTTGACTGTGCTCATGCTGTGGTGGAACCCGAAAATCTATTGCTATAATAGCAAACCCCAGCAGCAGAGGCAGCTTGTCCCCTTCTCCTTCCCCTGGGCGATCTCTGTGCTCCGTCTCAGGTAGGAAGGAAGTGCGATTCAGCAGATCCTTCTGTCTGATAGACAAACATAAGGGAAGTGCAGCATGTCTTTGTCTTAAATGGTTCTACTCAGCTCCCTAGCTGTGTATCCAAGGTGTTTCCTCCTGGTTGTAAACCATTGTTGTACTGTTTGTCTATTTTGGAAAAAGACGTATCAGGTTGTAATTGAAGTGTTTAATATTGCTAACTGTTGTATCTATGAATATTTAATGAACCCTCTAGATGTCTGACCAATCCAGAGCAGTAAGTCAAGGTACTTTTCCTACCTGCTTGTGTAAGTAACACACATAAGGAAGCCTTCATCTCCGTAATCAACTAGCAGAGGCTTTGAAATGGGGCTGAGCATTATGACACACCTTAAATAATCGCGGAATACTTTACTCATATTGGTATTCTGTATATCCGAATGTCTGGTTTTGCAAATGAAATAGATCTGAATTTGCTTGGTTTATTTTATTTTATTTAGTTTGTCAGTGAGGAACATGTACAACATGCATTCATCTCAGTTAATGAGAGGAGATGCATTGCACCTGATTTAGCTGATTAGCTAGATTCCATCTTACACACACGGCCTAAAAATATGGGAAAGTCAGATAGACCTGTCAGTTTCTACCTCTGTGTTAATTCAGAAAGGGATATTGTTAATCCTAATGAACAATGTTTATAAAAAAGTTCTTCGACATTGTACAGTGAGTGGAGATTAAAATTGTGAATGTATTAACCTATCCCTATTATGCAAATGTTATCTTTACCAAAGCAATATGCAAAGATGTATGAAATTAGTCTGCTTAGCTTAATTAATTATACATGTTTACAAAACATGAGTGAAATGTCTTAGCCCATAAGAAGTGTCAGCGTGCAGATAGATGAAGGTCAGCAGCAAAGTGCTAGCTCATCTGGATCAAGGCTTGGACTGGGTTGTGGTGGTCCTGGGTCATTAACTTTAGTGCGGAGGAGAATTGGCAGACAGTTTCAGCTTTGCCACCCCCAAGACTCTATTCTCCTCCCATCAGGGTTTCTGTCTTCTCCCTCTCTTTCACTCCTGCTCTTTCCCACCCTCCACCCCCTCCCTCCCTCTGTTGTCTCTCTTTCACTCTCCAAATATTAACAGGGTCATTTGAATGTCCTACATTGCTGGGAAGTTGTGATGATGTCAGCTGCTTTGCGCTGATCTCTGAGTGGCTCTTTTGCAAAATGCAGACTCGTTAAGTTGATACCAGTTTGGTTTGTCTATAAACACCAGCTATAAAAGTGGGATTTATTGTGTGATTCAAATTAACTATGTGCTAGATACAGTAAAACTATTCTGATTAGCAAACAGGAAAGGAAAACTCTTTGTTTTGGTTTTTTTTTTTCTCAGGGCTTGTCTTCTCCAATAAGCTGTTCTTTTTGGCCAGTGACTAACACAGCCCTCTGTACTGTAGATTACAGAGAAGGATGACTCACTGCTGACTCGCTGTGTTTATAGGGATCTTTCATTTACATCCCCATGGAACAAGCTAGTTGAATCAGGTCCTCTGAGTCAGCTATCCCTTGTTTCAACCTTTTACTATTCACAGTGAAAAGAAAAAGTCTTCCCTGGTTGTGTATGGTGTTACAGACATTTTCAGAGGAAACGTGTCACATACCCACTCATTCAGTGGGCTTCATTTGAACAAGAAAAGGGGGAATAAAGCCTCTTATCTTAAGGCTGTTGTGCTTTTGCTCAGTGCACCCCACAGTTCAAAAGCAACCCAAATACTTTTGTTTCGGTACCGCGACTACAGCTGCTCTGCATGCTCACCCCCACCGAAGCCCTTTGTTCTTGTGACCCTGTGGACCCGATGTTCCCACCATGAGTGCCCCTGTAGGCACCACCATTCACAGCATGCTGGGAATAGGAAGACCTGAAAGTCTAACCTGAAGGTTCAGGGAACAAACAATAACACCTTTCTAATCATTTCCAGTTTTTATTTAAATTCTCAGCCAGGCTCTTCTGCTTCTTTTGCAAAAGTCTCTGAGAGGACATTTCACTGTGGTAAAACCTGAGGCAACAACAGGAAGGTTCACAAGTTCAAGTCACCTCCTCCTTAGGACACCTGTTTTGTAATATTGGTTTTATAATGTCCTTATCAAAGCTCTTGTTACGTGTGGTGAGATTACAGATGATAGGATATTCCAGCTTGGCCCTTAAAGCCTTACATACATCGGTTTATGATGCCCAAGATAGACTGCGTTTCACTTTCATGTTTACCGTCAGTGTTTACAATGGTTTTAGAGTACCACTTTGCCAGAATTTGACATTTCACTCCCAAACTTTCTCTTAATAAATGGGACTCCCAATGGCTAGCATAACTATAAATGAAAGTTAAATACTGCACAGGCTTTGAGTTCACAAAAAGGTTTGAAAGCAATACACTAGCTGTCTAAGTTTCAGTAAAGAACGTGACAGGAATACCAAAATTGTGGATGTTTACTGTGAGATAGCTCGACTTTCCTCTCAATTTCAATGTGTTTATTTTTTCTGCAAAGGCTGAAGGCTTTGCGCAATCCACTTCTATCAGTGACAGCTTTGTTGAGATAGTAGATTCCTTTTTAGATCGCTCGAAACCAGTCTCCAGTACCATCTGTCAATCACACACTGACATATGCATCCAGCCTCTCCAGAGTCCTCAGTGGTCTGCACCTTAAGAGTTTTTGGCAGGGGTATTTAGTGTGGGTTTGTGTGTGTCTGTGTGTGTGTGTGTTTGATAGAGGGATCTCTCACAGTGGTGACAGCACTAGTTAACAGTAAGATGGTACAGGCTGAAATGGAATTCTGGGAGCTTGCCTGCAACTTTCTCTGTTGAGGAATGAGAACTGGGAAACAGACACTGCTACTATCTGTTTCCCATTTCAGACATGCACCCATTTTTGTTCATCTGACCACAGTTTGAGTTATCTGTCTCTTGTGTAAATAAGCACCCTGGTTTCTTCGGGTTGGAACTTTGTCTTACTTTGTAAGTTTTCTATTTCACTTAAAACATGGCAAAAGTCAAAACAGAATTCTGCAGGAGATAAATTACACTTGTACTGCCTCATAAGTTACTAAGGTCATAGCTCAGTAGTTTTCTCCTCTGCTCAAAATCAATTGGAAAACACTGAGATGTTTTTCAAAAGATACCTCTATCAGATAAGTCTGTAAAAACACTTTACCTCACATAGCGAGCAGAAAAGAAACTGTTAAAACCCCTCATAAAACAAATGAGTCATATCAACAGTGGCTCCTTGTATTCTCAATATTCATTCAGGACAGTGGATTTTATAAAACAGGCAGCAATGAATTATCTAATTTTGTTTAATTATCTGCAATTGAGTAGTTTCACTGTTAGAAGCAGCAGTGGTGGTGAGTGGCCTCAGGCTCGCAGTTTTCATCTTAAAAGCAAAACAGATTTTCAATTCCAACAGTTGGCAGCCTCAAGGAGATAATTTAAGATATCACATGTATTTCAGTACATTGTGTCTGACTGTCCCCCTCTAACACAGGGTGCAAAATATTCAGGGAGAGTGCTGCTCATTCTGATTATAAGATGTCAAGGCACCTCAGTTTGATGGACATAATGCCATCACTTTGACATAGACAGACACACTCTAAACCATAGAGAAATAAATCACCTATTACAGAGATTTATATTGATGATCACTTTGTAATCATCAAAGCCACCAGGATCTACTATCTTGAGTTGTTAACTTTCCTATCTAATCTGAATGTCTATCTGTCCCTCCCTCCCTCCCTCCCCTCCCTCTGCCGTCCCCAGATGTTCCTGACAGTATACCTCAGTAACAATGACCAGCATTTTACTGAGGTCCCCGTTACCCCGGAGACCCTGTGCCGGGACGTGGTGGAGTTGTGCAAGGAGCCTGGGGAGACGGACTGTCACCTATCTGAGATGTGGCGTGGATCTGGTGAGTATTCTGAAGAGTTAAAGTCACATGTTGTTTTGTTTGTGGAATATGGCCGCAGCCAAGGGACAAGAGAGTCAGTGTGCAGACACTTGTTTGTCTTCTCCCTTTAATTAGAGGGAAATTGCTTTTCTGAAGTGGACCATATATGGAGATTAGCAGTGTGGTCAACTGTGGTTTCTTTTTGAAGGGCTTATCTCCTCTGCAATGCAAATGAAGCAGAGCCCATAATCCTCGCAATAAACAGTCTCCCAGATATATCCCACAACTCTCAAGATTTCATGCCTTGCCCATTTTTCCCCCGTCTCTGAGAGTCAGAGGGTATTCAGAATCAAAACTCGAGGAGCAAGGCTTCGAAGCTGTTCCCATGGTGATGCTGCCATAAGAGTGAAGAAAGTGCCAATTATTGTGTTTGAGTACTTCCACAAGTAGTCTGAAAAGAGACGCTAACTGCTGAAAAGATTGTCTCATTTTGCAGCCGTCGCTTCCTCCAGACTACAAATGACTCTCCTTGAAAACAGCAGTGATGTTTTTATGTGACATTAGATGCAAAGCTATTTATAAACTATTACACATGTAACTGATTTGTTTTTCAGTCATGCTCCTGTAAGAGATTGCTTTCATTGACCTCTACTTGACTGTAGTGTGTCAGTCCATTTGTGTAATGAAATGGTCTAAAGCAGGTTGAAGAAAATGTCTGAGGAATTGATGATGCGCCCTTTGGCTCAGTACCAGCCAGAATAATTGACAACATATCACAGTGGTTTTCCCAGAGGTCATTGCTCAGAGAGATCAACTAGATGTGGTTGGAGCTGATGAAGTGAATCTCCTTTCCGTGTAGGCCAGCTGTGTCATGGTAGTGGTTGGACAGGATTCACAAAGCACACCTAGCATGTGTACCTGACCTACATTGGTATTACCACATGCTTTAACCTTACCAAGCTTAATTTAATTATTCAATATTGACTTTATGGGTGTAATTTTACCTTACACCAGAGTGCTGACGTCTTATGATGTATTCCATCTGCAGAGCGAGCTGTAGGTGACGGGGAGAGGATGCTGGATGTGCTCCAACGATGGGGACAGCACAAGGCAGAGGTGCGCTTCTTTCTGCGTCACAACCGAGCCCCTAGCAGGGATTCAGGTAAGTGTCCTTACCAACACATTAAATACAACAGGTTATAAAGCAAGGAGGTTTTTATGGTCTTTTTTTGCACACAAGAGCATTTTTTTTTTGGTGAAGTGCTGCCCTCAGACAAAAGACATTTGGCACCAATGTAGTAAACTCCAGAGATGCCTGCAGCCTTTGAACAGACACAGACCCCCTTTAGCGTTTAGCATTCAGAAAAAGCAGTTTACATTAACAGCCTGTCAAAGCTGGACTGAACCACACCACCTCTCCTCTAAAACCGCAGAGGTTTGAAAAATGTAACAACTGCCTTTATCCAGGGAAGGGTTTTGCTTTGGTGGGCCTCAAATCCTTAAACAAGACTTATTTAGTCTTACTGTTGGAGAGCAGGCTGAATGCAGAGTGTGTCAGTGACATCGTCATAAGCTTGTTACTTTCAGTTTTCTTAGGAACACAGAAAACTCAAGTATTTTGGTCGTACGGTATCCTCTCAGCCCCTGGTTGCGTAATCTAAGCCCTTTTACCCCTCACAGCTTGAGTCTGGCCCAGGGATTAGACGGCTGTTTTCCCTTCCTGTTATCTTAGCCTGCTCTTGTTTTCCCACACTGTTAGCTTAGCGCTTGTCAGTCTTTGCGAGACAGTTCTGTGTTACGTTTTTATTGTCCTGTTTTTTTGTGGTGCTCAAACTTTACTGGTAAAATAGTAACACTGAAAATCAACCAAACATGTTGAAGTGAGTTCAGTGTTGACAGGTCCTGATGCTGTGCTAGTATGTTCTTGAAGATCAGGTCAGAGGAAAAAGTATGTTCTCTGTGTATTGAGTTAGCTAAGTAATCTCCCACCTAATGTCATAATGTCACTTACCGAGTGTTCTGTTCACACTCGTTCTTAGCATGTATTTTACATGCAGACTGTGTGTCAAAGGTCATCCAAAGCCATTATGCAAGCTAAAGGGCTTTGGTCATAGGCTAAGGCTTTAAGGATGGGATCTGACGCCCCTAGCCCACAACCCAGTCAGCTGTCAAATGCCAGTAGCATGATTGGATAAAAGTGCATTTGTTTAGACAGACACGCTAGTACGCAGTTGTGAGACCAACGGCCAGACGGTTATGTATTACGTTAAATCCTGAGATTATTGCAAGTCTCAAAGAGCACTGATCCCAGTTGTTTCCCAGAGGAGCTAATACCATTCAGAACTAGCCAGTCTGTTGGACTGGCTTTCTACTGATATACACCCTACTCTGCAGAGAAAGCTGTGCACCTGAGTGTGTGACCTTGTTTGTCAGAGACAGCGCAGGCAGAACGGCAAGAGGAATTTCAAGTCATTTTTCACAGCTGTCTGTAAAGGCCAGTAGTTTGTTAGTTCTCTGTTGCTTAAGACTTCACCGATGCAGTCAACCTTTGTAAAGCTCTGCATTAAATAGTGGTGTCTGATGGAGATTTCTATTATGTTTGTTACTCAGGCGGGTCAAGAGGCTCAGAACCAAAGAGGAATGGAGTAAAGGGTCCCCCGGATAGAAGAATGGAGAACGGGGTGAGTCATCTTTTTTTAAACACCCTCTGAAATATGTGCTGCAGGATGCTTCTTTCTTTTTCTGATAGTTCGTCTGTTAAAGAGAAAAAAGTAACAAAATGTTATATTTTTTAAGAAAGCGCTATATACATGATATTCATACATTACCCATTAACTGGTTTTAATTAGAAGTGTATTTTGATGCACCTGAATGGAGTAACAATAGCTTTACTGTTGCCTCCATGTGCTCCTGGCAGACAGAAAATGTTCAGCTGCATCACTATATAGATGTTAGAACTTCATTCATGCAATGTGGGTCATAGATCTGGTTATTTATATGAGTTCTGTAACCTAGAATAATGTTTTGTTTACTTAACAACTTGGAAACTATTGCTCCAGGGATACTTATTAATTCAACTCACAAAAACATCCTGTAGTGTAAAAATGCAAATACTAAGTTAATCAAACATCAGAGCACTGACGCGGCTCTTCATATCATTATTAACCAGAGATTGTCACCCTCTGGGTAAGAATGTAGTTAATGTTATGAATCTTGCCATCAATGAGAGATTTCCTTATGTTGTCCTTTTTAAGGGTTTTTACAAGTGATGTAGAGGATTTTAATACTTCACTTATCTCCTCCTGTGTTCTGCTTTTTAAAATACATTTCAGTGTCTTCTTTTGCTTTTCTGATTTCAAGGCTACACTTGTCTTTAAATAGATCTGAAACAATTTTCAGTGTAACTTTCAAAACAACCCAAGTATAAATGATCTCTCTTTGGTCCTTCAATCTATCCCTGCGCAGGTTGTGACCCCCCGCATGGACATGACGCTGGCCGAACTACAAGAGATGGCTGCCAGACAGCAGCAGCAGATAGAAGCTCAACAACAGCTCCTCGCTTCCAAGGTACATGAAGAAGAAGTGGAAGATGAAAGGGGAGATGGGGATGGCTGGAGTGAAGGGATGATAGGAAGAGGATAAGTGGTGAAGATGAAAGCAAAAGGAGAGAGGGAAAAAAATAAATAGAGGAAGAATAAAAGGGGGTGATGGTAGAGAAACTAAGCTCACTCAAACAAGTGCACTTATGGAAATCTTAAGATAAAGTGCTTGTTATGCTTCTGATAGACAGGTTAGATGAACTGCTGATGGCTGCAGGTGTAGTGTTTATAATTTGAGAAGCCTGAGACAGCTGCGTGCACTTACTTCTCACTGTGCAGGACTCGTCTGGTATTTAAAGATATTTTTTTTTCCTCTAGCTTGAGATTTGTTTCTCATCTTGCTCAGGATTTGTGGACGATTGCAGGAAGACATTTGACAGAAAACAGACTGACCATTTTTCTTTTTTTGCTGAGGCACTTTTCAATGTTTCCATTCTGCAGATCCAAAAACATGTAGAAAACGTGTCTTTTCTTTTGTGCTGTTCTTGAAATATGCCCTCCAGGCTACAACACATGTCATCGAGTAACTTTAGTTAGTATGCCTGAGGATGAAATAGCAAGCTGTGAAATGTTTCTTCTAGCAGTCAAGTACAGTTGCACATGTCAAGTAAACAGACAGGCATTTCTATCAGCACACATTGCCTGCAACAGTTACGGCTGGAGCCTGAGTTGTGCTCATTTTGGAACCAGTTTGGTAGAGCTCTGTCAGGTTTATATTACACTGTGTCATAGTCAAAGACTGATGATTGTTTTTGAAACATGAACACTGTTAAGCTTGAGAGAATGTTTTCTTAACTCTGTATTTAATCAGGCATGTTAATATAAAATAAATTCCTGATAGCCTGGAGAGGCAACTGCAGAAGAAAATATATTTCTTCACTCTTTCACTGCCAGCCCCAAAACATCTTTGTAGAAAATGTACTTTAATGTCTTGCCTGAGGACAGAAGCTTTTCAGGAAAGCTTATTCAGCAGTGTTTACTCAAAAAGTGTACAGGGATGTCTTTAATTATGTTTCTGACATTTGCTCTATGCTCCCTTTTTTTTCTATCTTGTCTCTCCAGGAGCAGCGGCTACGCTACTTGAAGCAGCAGGAGCAGCGTCAGCAACAGCAGGCCTCTGAGCAAGAGAAACTGCAGCGTCTTCGAGAGAACATCGAGAACCAGGAAACTCGGCTCAAGAAGGTCAGGGCCATCAAGGGTCAGGTGGAGCAGAAGCGCCTCAGCAATGGCAAACTGGGTAAGCTCACAGACAAAGTACATTTATGAAGATATGCCTTCTTTGAATTTGAAGGATTTGAATCTATTAGATTTAAACGTTCAAATGTCCTTCCTCCTCTGTACCTCTTGTGACCTCTCTCCTTCTTCCACTCCTCTTTGTCCAATCTCCCCCTCCAGTGGAGGAAATAGAGCAAATGAACAACCTGTTCCAGCAGAAGCAGAGAGAACTAGTGATGGCTGCGTCAAAAGTAGAGGAGCTCAGCCGACAGCTTGAGCTGCTCAAAAATGGCAAAATGGACAATTTCCATGATAACCAGAGCTCTGTGGCCGAACTAGATCGCCTCTACAAGGAGCTGCAGGTGTGCAGAAACAAAACTTACATGAAAAGATCATGATCATCTCAAATGTCAGCAAATGTTAAGTTTCTCTTTGTCCTCATGTCTTGTCTTTCTTGGTGGTCAGCTGAGGAACAAGCTTAACCAGGACCAGAACTCTAAGTTACATCAGCAGAGAGAGAGCCTGAACAAGCGCAACCTGGAGGTGGCTTCCATGGACAAACGGATCAGTGAGCTCCGAGATCGGCTGTGGAAGAAAAAAGCAGCACTGCAGCAAAAAGAGAACTTACCTGTAAGTATAATAACACCACACATTTTGGAATAGCCTGATACAGATCCCTGCCACAGATCATCTTCTATATTTGTCAGGTGGATTTGGTTTTGATGAGAGCTCCCCCTACTGGATGTTTTCTTTAATCTCTTTTTTTTTTTTTTACCGTGGTAGCCTCAGATGCCCTGGCATGCAGAGCCTACCCATGCCAATGTAAGGCTCCTTATCCTCACTATCTTTCAAGGAGTCAATTCCTCTCCATCTTTTTTCTTTCTCTTTCTGACATATAGCTGATTTGGGATTGATCATTGTTTTGATCATGTCACAGGGTTGCATCTGAGTTCACACTTCTTCACTCAGCTGTGTTTTCAGTCCCATTTGGCAGAAGCAACTCCTGAGATGAGAGAGGAGTAATGAGCGCAGGCTGACATCACAGACAGGCAGGAATGTCAGGGGAGATGTTATCTTTACTGGATGCATGCTTGACAGAAACAGGAAAAGGCAAATAACAAGATTGCTAAAGGCAAGCAGACATCTTACTGAAAACAAGAACACATTTTATACCGAAATACAGGACAAGATTCAACACACGATGGAAACAGAAGGCTGAATAATTGCGTCTTTGTATCAGAGGTGTATAATGGGTGTCAGGGTTTTGGCTCTGAACTCGCTGAGTGGTGTGTCCCAGCTCCTCTGCTCCTCTCTCCCCTTGCCAAAAGTTGTTTTGCACACAGGTTGCCATGGGACTATAAATAAGAGTCAACAGAGCGATCTATGAAACGGACTGTGAGGAAAGAAAACTCACTGCTCGAGGTTGAAAACATGTGTAGGGAGGGAAAAGATGGGAAAAAAGAGAAACAGAAAAAAACACAATAATCTGATTGATAAATGACAAAAATCATGTTTTTTTCCTCCGTTCTCTATGCAGTGATCAGGTTAAGTTTCTATCTGACAGGATTTGGGCTTTTTATTCACCTTCATCATTCACTTTCTTTCTTTCAAACAAATTAACACTAAACCAATTAGTTTCAAAAATAGTTTTTCATTAATTATTGATGATTCATAACTTTGGTATGAAATAAAAACAACGAGATGTTTGTATTCAAGGTGCTCTAAAAAATGTGTATTTGTTGTAGGTACAAAAAAATGTAGCCTCCTGAGTTTGCAGCATTGCATGTTTACTAAGCAAATGCATTGCATAGGATTTAAGTGGCCTATACGTTTGAGCATAAAATATTCATGCTAAAATGGAGATTTCACATATTCTCCTGAGGATCTACTGGAAACCCTTTTAGATAAATGAGTAACTTGCTTAGTAATGGAACTTAAAAAAAAAATGTCAATTCCCCCTGACATGTACTGTATAATAAAGTAGGAATAGAACAGTGAAGTGTACGTGCATGTGTGTTTGAGAGCATGCATAATGTGTGTGCGTGTGTGTGCTTTAGTGATGTAGTGCCTGAATAGGTCCTAGTGAGGAGGTGATTTGCCCACGCCCTGCCTGGAATCATAATGAGCGGCCCTTTTTCACACTAGCACAAAGACACACTCCATCCAAGCTGCTCTCTCCTCCAACCAAACAGCCAACGTCTGGCTGACATCACCCAAAAAGCACGTTTGACCACACTGACTGAGCAGAGGTAGTCTAAGAGCTGCCAGTTAGGACACATCCCACACGGTCTTAAACACAGAGTTCAGGCAAAAGGCTCCTATTGCACTAGAAAAAGAGGGAATATTCGGTATTTTTGAACCACTGTTGCATGTTTCTGCTTTTGTTTTTTTCAAGAATGGCTATCCTGGTAAAGAGAGGGCTTCAAAAGACACTCATCTTCAGGTAATTAGTATTGGAGCTTAACTTTATCTGTCTCTTTTTTTTCTGATCTGACCTTTTGAGCATGATTTAGTACCTCAGATTCATCAGTCCAACAGCCAAAGTGAGGCCGCTCATCTTGTCTGAAAGTGACAGCTTGTGAGAATGTCATCATCTGCAGAAAAAGAAGTTCTTGTTCAGAGGTTGAGTTTGAAATAAAATTAAAGCCCCTGCAGAATTTTTTTTTGTAATCTTTGGAGAGCATAATGGAATTGTGTTCTGTAAAATGATGCATGTAAGAAAACAAACATAGTCTTCTAACATCCAGATTATTATTTTAAAAATACTCAAATTAAACTGCAGGATTCAAGAGATGGTACTGTCTTTGATGATTTTACATCACCTCTCATAGGTGGACTGCACACATCGTTTGCAGATTCTTATGGATTGCTTTAAACTAAACTGAATGCTATTCAAATTTCCACATTTTTTATTACAAAAAAAACTGTGCTTATAAAATTGGAGGGATTTAAATTTGATTAATCTTAAACCTGTAAATATAATCCACACATTTTCTTGGAACAATGTAGTTATTCATTTGTGACTAAACCGAGTAAATTCTAAGAAATCTAAATTACATCCAGGGTTGTTTTTAAAATAAATATTTTGTTATATTCCAACACTGTTTGGTGATTTGTTGCATTTATTGACATTTAGGTTCCTTAGAAATAAAACCTTATTACCTTAATCCCCTGTCCTGTCATCAGACCTACAAGTTACAATTTGACTTATTCCTGCCTACGCTTCCGGGCAGTACACCCACAGAGCTTTAACAATTTTCTCACTGTAATGACCATTCTGGATTAAACAATGGAGAAGACACAGTTCCAATTTTATGTTGTAACGTTTACATGATAGCCATTATAAACCCTTAGATTTCAACAACATGTCCTTCTCTGGCACTACCTCCCGGGCAAAGTTCACATTTTTGTTACTCTGGTGACGACGATGTAAAAGTATAAAAATGGTCTGTGTGTTGCTTTGTTTTTTATTTGATGAACGATTCAGTGTTAAGGAGCTGCTGTTGATTTTAATCGTTGTCATTCAGTGCCTCAGTATTAACAATCATTTCAGCATGCATTTTGTGATAGTCATCTAAATCTCAACCATCAACCATCAACACCAAAACACTGAATAAAAGTTTTAGATACCTGTTTTTCAAATGTATCTTAATGTGTTTTTTCTCTTTCCTTTTGTCTGTGCAGGTGCCCTCTGATGGCCAAGCTGGACAGCAGTCAGGTCCATCTCGCGTGGCGGCGGTTGGCCCTTATATCCAGTCGTCCACAATGCCCCGGGGCCCAGTGAGGCATGAGCTGCTTGTAAAACCTGCCTACCCAGACGGCACTGCCACCTTACCATCCCACGACCCACAAAGCAAGGCCAACCCAGGTGAGCAACGGCAGTGTACTCACTGTCTGCAGCATTTTACCTCTCTACTCAAGACGTTGTCTTTCTCGGATCTCTGCTGGGGTCGTCGACTTGACACCAGGTTGTTAATTTGCAAAAGCTTTCTTAGCAGCAGAGTTCTGAAATGAAAGTTAGTCATAATTGCAGATTAAAAGGAAACCTGTGCTGAAGCACGTCTTCAACCATTCTGGGTCCTCTGCTATTGTTCTCCTGATTTCTTAGTCCTCTCATGTAGTCGGATGTGTGTTTGAACTCCAGCAGGAGCAGAGGAGTCTGGGACACCTGCTGTATGTGATGTCACTCTGAGCACAGAAGGTAGCGAGTTGCCTCGTGGATGGTGTGTTGTGACCTAGTATTGCAGAGCTTGAACATCACACTCTTTCCCCCCCCCACACATTTTCTGGAGAACTTAATGATATGTTTTGCAGTGATTCAACCAGTGTTTTTATTGCTATGAGTTGTGTCTGTATTTTTTTTTACAATATTGGCAATATCTTGTCTTAAGCGTGTATAGCTATTTATTAATACTCTGTCAAACAAACAGATGTTTTGAATTATGACCATAGTTTATTTTATTTTACTCAGTTTCAGGAAATCAAAGTTTGTCTGTTGCTCAGTTAAAATGCATACTGTACTCAGTATCTTAGGACTTATAACCAAAAGAATCACTGATTGTGATTGTGATGCATGTCAAGTCAGTCTTGACTTCATATGAGAACCATTGATTTCAAACCCTCTACATATTTGGCCTAGAAGTTTGTTTTATTTCCAGGATAGAATAAAACCAGTTGCGGTTTGTCTCCATTTCAAAATGACAGTTTGAGAGGCAGCACAGAGTTAGCTGTTATTGCTGCAGCACCCTCTCCCCACGGACTGCAGCAGCATGCATGTTGTGCAAGAATTCCCCCTCAAGGAATTAATAAATCTATTCTTATTCTTAATGGGGGGAAGAAACCTCTGACGGACCAGAGCAACATCTCATTTAAATATGTTCCCTGTGCAGAAATGTCACAGTTTCTCTCTTACGTGCTCCATGTCTATGCTCACTCTCTTAGCCCTAACTCAGTCCCCCAGTGGGTAGTGGGCCAGTAGTGCACTTCATATTATTAAAAATGAATGATCCAACGCCAAAATAAGTCATCACAGAACGACAGCAGAAAGCCTCTCTTCCCCCACTCTCTTTCCATTAACCCATATTTTCCTATTTAAAGCATTTTAACATTAAGAAAAAGTTTGAGGCTGTATTCTGTCTCTCTGTGATGATGTTGCACGCAATTGTTTCTGCATGCTGAGTTGATTTGCTGTATGGAAAGAAAAGAGAGCGAGATGGGAGGAGATGCAGGAGAAACTCCTCTCGTATACATCCATTTCAAGTTCGTCTAGAAGGGAGGATGTATCGAAGATGTGTGCATAGTATCAGGTGTGCTCCTTGAGGTTGTGATGGTCTCTGTGTGGCCCTCAGGGGAGGCCCTACCTGGGCCAAACCAACACAATGTCTAGACTAAAGGGAGATCTAAGGCTACTTTGTTTTTCTTGTCTTTTGAATGCATCTTCTTCAGAAGCCATGTTCTTGCTTAAGCCTCTGAAAGAGCTGCGGGCTAAGAGAAAAGGTACACACTTGTGTTTGCGTGCGTGTGTGTGTGTGTGCTAGTCAGTGGCTTTCTTTTGATGTGTTTGTTTTCCATGAGAGTAGATCTCATGGAAAAAATATATATTTTCATAATTTATTGGCAGGATCTTTTGTTCGGTTCTGCTTGTTGCTCTTTTGTTAAAGCGTGTTTGTTGAGCTTTCTCCTCAGTTGTCTGTTCTGCTGCTCTAAATGGCTCTGTTGGTACAAACAGAAAACCTTTCGTTAAACTGACAAGCTGTGTGGATTCTTCTGACCAACAAAACCAAGTCTTTTCTGTTGCAAAGTCTGTGTTGGGTGTATTTGCACATCATCTCTTGGGATTGAGTTTTTAACTTCACAAGTCCCGAGGCACTGCGATGGAAATCTTCATGTGTTAATTATCTTTGATGTGATGCTGATCTTGCTAGTTGCAGGAGCCTCGTGTTTTTTTGTGGCTCATCTCACTGTCGATGTCTGAAGACGTGTGTAGCCACTGGCCGGATCTTAGTCAGTCAAACAAAAAAACACAACCAAAGAGTAATGAGAGGACAATGTCCCAACGTTGTTTAAAATAATCTACTTTGGTTTTCTGTGTGTGACAAACATAACACACAGATCTGTGGACTTTGTGTTTATCTGGATAAATATTGGCTTAAGCTACTTTCCCCTCTGTGTGTCATTTGTTTCACCTCCTGTCTATGTGAAATCCTTTGGCGGACACTGTAATTAACATACTGTGTTTTTGCCCTCTTCTCTGACTCCTCTCCCCCTCGTCCCCAAGGCCTTCAGCCTTCCAAAATGGCAGACTGGGGCTCTTCAGGTCCAGAATCCAACGGTCATGGTACAGCATCAACACTGCCCCGAATGACCTCTCACTCCAACGCTAACGCAGAGCAAGGTAAAAGACATGCAAGCACCATATGCATAAACAGTGTTACACTGAGACTGCACTGAAATGCCTTTTTATCAGCTTGAAACCAGTAAATGCTCTTTATGCAGAACAAAAGCTTCAAAAGGGTCCTATTGTTCTGTGTTGTTATGCTTAAACATGAGACAAAACTCATTATGTTTTATTTTTATGATTTGTCGATAGATGAGACTGAACAGAAGAGGGACAGGAAGGTGCGTCCATTTTCCATGTTTGAGCCAATGGAGGCTCCTGTCTCCTCCCTGCGCAAAAACCAGAGCAGTGATGACCTGGTCAGGGACGCTCAGGTGAGAAGGAACAAAAAACACACTTTTTTACATCCTTACAGGAAAAGAATGACAGGTTTCGGTTTTTGCTAACAGCAGTAATAAACCCTCACATTTTATTTGCAACCTCTACCTCTTTGTCTCTCCAGTCTGCTCCCAAGGCTTCGGTCAAGGTGCCTCCTCCTGTCCCAACCAAACCGAAAGGACCTGGTGTCATGCCATATGGCAAACAGGGCCTCAACACAGGCACCTTCCCTAAAGCCAAGCCCCACAGCCAGCAGCCCCAGGTCGCCCAGGGCCGCAACCCTCTCCCACCCTCACAGAGCCAGACACTCCCCCTACCCCCCAAACAGGACACTCCACCTGCAGCCACGGTACGGCCCTTCACACCAGAGCTGCCCGCCTCCAAAGACGCCAGCATGAGTAAGCCCCAGACCTTAGCGGCCAGCTCCATCTACTCAATGTACACAAAGCAGCCTGGCTCAGGGAAACCTTTCCAGCCTGGAGTGCAGGGGGCTCTCAACAGGACTCAGAACCGCACCAATGGATTTGTCAGTGGTAAGAATATTTAGTCATAGCTTTTTCAATCATTTTATAATCCATACAAAAACAAACGACCTACAAAAATATAATAAACGTGCATCTGTCCACGTCTTAAAAACACTGAAGTGATTAGAAACTTGAAATAAATAAGTAGCGCCGGATTTCAGAAGATGAAACATTATGTAACTTAAATAGAAACGTTGAGATTGAAATACAAGTGCACCAGCATCATGTGTCACTTGAGATGAAAATCTCTTTCCTGCTGTCCTCCTCAGCAGACTCACAAGGAAATATTCACACGCCAGACCAGAGAGGCAGCGAGAGAGATTAACCATATGGTCCCTCTGTTTCTTCAAACAACATTTTAGGCACTTGCTCCTACTGCTACTGATGGGAATTGTGGAGATGAAATGGATTTTTTTTAAGTTTAAGTCTAAGTTTTTGAAGGATTTTAGTTCTAGTTGTTCCAGTAATTTAAATCATTATTTATCTGAACTTTGTTATGTGAAAGGCCGATGTGGGGTTGTAGCTATCTCTCAAAATAAAAAGACTTATTATATTTTTTTCAGTTAGTTACATAGAATAAGGGTGAGTCATCAGGTTATCAATCTGGTAGTGGTGATATCTCTGTTTACATTACAGTCCTGACTCTTGTTTTATCTCTTTGTTTGTAGTGTACGGTAAACCAGTGATCCCCGGTGGAGGCTCCCCACATCCAGAAAACCCTTACCAAGACCGCCGCTCCCCTGCCTTTGAAACTGAAATCGACCACAATGGAGCCAACTATGTGGGTCCAAGCCCATCTGAGGGCCCACAACCAGAAACTGAGCGTATTCCCCGGCCCCTCAGCCCCACCAAGCTGCTTCCCTTCATTTCAAACCCTTACAGGCATCAAAGTGATGGTGACCTGGAAGCTCTGAGAAAGAAGCTGTACAATGCACCGAGACCCCTGAAAAAACGAAGCTCAATCACTGAACCAGAGGGTCCTGCAGGTCCTAACATCCAGAAACTCCTCTACCAGAAGACCACACTGGCAGCTATGGAGACCATTGCAACTACACCAACCACTCCAACCTTTGCTGGTGATGCAGAGAAGGCGGCTGAGGGCTCTGTTCCCAGTCCTTTGAGTGGTGCAGAGACCCACCCATCAGAGATGGGGCAGACTCTGGAGGGAGGTCATCTCCCGTCTTACATTCCAGGTGCTAATGTCCACATTCCAGCCCCTCCTGAACAGACCAAGCCACCTTCAGCCATCCCAAAGAGCGAGGACATAATCCCCCCTCCTCCACCATCCCACCCAGCCCCGAGGCCAGATGACGCTCTTTTCCCGCCACCGCCCCCTGCTGGCTTGGAGGATGCAATGACTAACCTGCCGCCTCCACCTCCAGATGGATTCCTGGAAGAGTTTCCCCCCTACCCACCGCCGCCATATCCCAGTGGAGCAGAGCAGGACAGCTTAGGAGAGGACACCTTTAACATGAAGGCACCAGAGGTCACCGGCCAGGTCACTCTGCCACCGGTATGAATCCTAAACTGCTTTGTCAAAATTAAAAGTATCTCTTAGTGGATTGAGAAAAAGAGCTTTGGTCACTGCAGTCCTGAGTCCACTATAAATATTTCCCTTGTTTGCGTTTGTGCTGCATTTTTATTTAAACCCTCTCACATGTTTGTTTGCTCATTCCATGGGGGCAGGTCATTAGTAAGTAATTTCACTTTATTCTAACACCAGTGACCTGTTCTGGTGTTATATAATTAGATAATCCATATCAAACACCGCCATTGTTTCTGAAAAAAAGTGTGCCCTATTCCGCTCACGCTAAGCGGATACCAACTCTACTTTCCCTCATTTACTTACACAGTCTGTGTGCAAAATAAAGACCAGTTTACATGTTCTTGTTCTTAAGCTCTCAGTGAAACCCCTTAAGTGGGTTTTATGACGAGGCAGCAGGTTTTAACGCGAAACCAATGAGAAATCAGTGTTATGACCCATTTTTCGCCCCTCGGTTCCCTCCCTCTGTTACACCCATTAAAGACTCATTTGGTTGCATAATGGTGGTTTTGGAGCAATGAATTAGTTTCATACAGTTTGTGCTTACAAACTGGATTAGCAACACACTTAGAGCTAGAAAACAAGTCCCTCCTCTGCTCTCAGTCCAGACTGAGCACTGCAGCGACTGGAAGCTTCCACCAAAGCTGGACAGACTTGGGGATGAGAATCTGCAGTCTCACATTTCAGATGTGATTTTTTTTTTTTTTCTTCACTGTCCTTAATGGCTTAATTATGACTGTGTCTTTAGGGCAAGAGGACCAACTTGCGCAAGCTTGGCTCTGAACGCATCGATCACAGTATGAGAGTGAAGTTTAACCCTCTGGCTCTGCTGCTGGACTCGTCTCTGGAGGGAGAGTTTGACCTGGTCCAGAGAATCATTTATGAGGTAAGACAGAACTTTTTAAGATTTCCATTTCGTTTGTCTAAGAGAATTCTGGATTAAAAAAAATATCTAAAAGTAGTCATTGTATTTCACCATTATGTGACCCTCCTAAAATCTCACAGGTGGCCGACCCCAGTCAGCCCAACGATGAGGGAATCACTGCTTTACACAATGCTGTCTGTGCCGGACATACAGAGATAGTCAAGTTTCTGGTTCAGTTTGGTGTCAATGTCAATGCGGCTGACAGTGACGGCTGGTAAGTAATTAAGATTTCTTGTTAGATATTTTTTTTTCAAGGAAAAGCTGATCAACTTTTACCAGAAACCTCCATTACCCTTTGCTTTCCTTTATATCCCTCTCTCTCATATTTCCTCTCCCATGTCTTTCTCCCCCACTCTCTAACACAGGACCCCTCTCCACTGTGCTGCATCCTGCAACAACGTGCAAGTGTGCAAGTTCCTCGTGGAGTCCGGTGCAGCGGTGTTTGCTATGACTTATAGTGACATGCAAACGGCCGCTGATAAATGTGAAGAGATGGAGGAGGGCTATACTCAGTGTTCGCAGTTCCTCTATGGTCAGTAAAAGCTATATAATTCTTCTTATTATTTCACACCGTATGCATGCTAACTATCCTGTGGAAATGTTTCTGTTTGACAATGTTTCTGTGTTTCTACCCTCAGGTGTGCAAGAGAAGATGGGCATCATGAACCGGGGTGTGGTTTACGGTCTGTGGGACTACAGCAGTGAAAACCCTGACGAGCTTCCGTTCCGTGAGGGTGACTGCATGGCCATCCTGCGCAGAGAAGATGAGGACGAGATCGAATGGTGGTGGGCACGCATGGGTGACACAGAGGGTTACATCCCCCGTAACCTCCTTGGGGTGAGTCACGAGTCACTGACGCTGTCACCAGAAAAAGAGTCTTCATGTACAAATGTGCATTGTTGACGTGTTTGCTTTGTTTCTTTAACAGCTCTACCCGAGAATAAAGCCGAGACAGAGAACCCTGGCTTAATATACAAAGACCCCTGCACATTCCAGTCTGCCACACACACACGCACGGACACACACACACACACACACATGCACATGCTTTAACAGACTGGAGAAGAGAAGGACACAGCTGAAATGAAGAAACAAGGACAGACCAAACAAAATGAAGGATCTCCGGCACTTTTTATTCCTTACCTAATACAGAGGGATTGTCTCTCCCTTATTTTCCAGGCTTCACTGTGTACTGTGTACTTCAGACACTATTGGCATTGTTTTTCTTTTATCAAACTGTTGTTGTTGTTTTGTAATTATTGTCTGACACGATCTCTTAATCAAACAGAAACTCACATGTTGGGAAGTAACTGGAACGAGCAGTATTTTAATTGCTGCAAAGTGATTTTTTTCCACTTTGAAATACTCTTTTAAAACATGTTTTATGCGGCACCGGTTACTTTCCAACATACTTCATCTCATCAAGTGGACTATGATGAAATACTCTTGTTACCATGACAATCTTTGGGGGCTTGTTTTCTCCTTGTTTCTCTGTATAGCTGCGCTTGAGATGTTAAGTTTCTGTTGTGAAGTCTCTGTTCTGGATAAAGAAATGAAATGATGTGTAGAGAAAAAAAAAGCTTTCGATTGATCTTTTGCTGTTATTCTGTGGTCTATGAAACCCAGAAAGCCAGTCTGCTTTCCTGCATTGGCACGTGGTTGAGATGCCATAGATACCGAGTGTTCACATATTTCTGTCACAGAGAATAGTAAAACGTTACTGTAGGTAAGATTTTAATTAGGAAAATGTACTTTCGAACCCTTAAGAAGCTCTTTTACCAAGACAGACAGTTGATGCAGTATGAAGTTCATATTTTTTTACAGCCATTCCATGAAAATACAGTCATGAAAGAAGACAAGCCTAATTCAAGAAATCTTCACGTTTTGTAGTTATCAGAAATAAAAATGACTGACTACACTGTAAGGTCATACGACACTTTTTATGTCAAAACAAAAAATGCCTTGATATGTTATGAGTTCCCAAAGCTCAACTCATCATGCAGATGTATTTATTTTTGTTACCTTTTTTTCTTTTGCCAGGACTATAACCACAAATGTACTGTAGTATTTCAAATATTTACAATAAAATACTTTGTACTAAGTTTATAAAGTCTTCTTTTTACTGACCACAAGTGCTGACTGAAATCCAGTTTTCTTCTCATGCCGTTTAATGTTCGGCAGATACGACGTGTTTGGATGTACTTACATACTCACTGTAGTTTGACAAGATGTTTGCTGCCCTCTGCTGGACATGAGGTGATACAGTTACTTCCCAGAGCATGAAGCCAGATATGATACATAGAAAGCAAGTTTTTTTTCCTATTACTTGTGTTAGTGATGAGTATAATATAACAGGATTTAGCAAGACTTGAAAAAAGATACCTGACTGTCTTTCATTTTCTCTGTTCTATAGACCAGTGGTTCTCAAACTGGTCTCGCCTCAGGACCCTCCACCAAATCCTTCATTAAGATAGGGGACCCTATGACCCCCGTGACCATTTTTTGTGTCCCAACCCACAAGTTGAGAACCACTGCTATAGACTTCACTGAGCTTGCTGTTGGTGCAATAAGTTCTATAAAATATTGATAATGTGTTTGAGGCAGTCCTTGTAAGGTAAGCTTATTGTGCATCTCGTATGATAGGAGATGATTAAACTTTTACAGTCACTCCTGTGGAGAAGCTGTAGTTACTATCAATTTTCTGTTAAAATATGTTTCTGCAATCTTTTTAAGAGCATTCATTCATTAAGGAGATTAAGTCATTCATGAGGAATCAATTTTATTTTTTAAGTTGTTTTTGCTGTTCGGTGTTCATCAGGATCCAACTCTCACTGAAAAGGCAACGAGCAAGTACTTTTTAGTATCTCACGATGTTAATGATTTGTACGTGCATTTAAGAGAAGATATCCACCATTACAATCATTTTTATTTGTGTAAGTGTTGGAGCATAACCTGGTTACAATTATTAACCTGCTTTAAAAACCTTGAGTTTCAGCTTTAAGCTCCTGTTAGACTTTGATCTGTGATGTCGCTAAAGATCTGTGTTCAAACAGGTTAAACAAATCCATCTATTCATCGGTGATAATGAAAGGACATTTTCTACTACAACTTAAAACATATTGTTCATCGATAAACAAGCTCACCATGTCACCGCAGGTTAACATGACAACTCTCTGTTGCCATGCTAACACTGGGCATTGAAGTCCCTCCCTCCCTCCACGAGCTGCAGTGAAGTTCTTCTATCATGTCCCTCTGTGACTTCATGGGGTTAATACAGCTGAGCGTTTCACACACAACCTCATGCGATGCACAAATCCCCTGCTGATTTATAGTGAGGAGCTGAGATAAAAGGCTGAATTCAGCATCAACACTGCCCACTGAACACTAACTGCATAATTAATAGACACATTCATTATTGATTGAAAAGTTCTGTATACATGAAAGACGAAAGTCATATGTGGAATGACAGATAGATGCCGTTTTTCCCCTTCATAATCAGAGCTCTGTGTATGACGCAGTCTATGAAGCTAAACCATGTGAACCTGCAGTGGATATCTATTCATACAGATGACGTTTATTCTTTTGCCTTGTGCAATAAAATGACTTGAATCCTATGTATAACCCCTCCGGGTGGGTTATTTCTTAGAGTCTGTGTATCTCCGGGTGTAGGAACAGGAGAGAGTTATAGAGCCAGCTTTCCTCACAGGCACCTTCATTAAGTGTTGAGCCTCTGTGTACACCAAATCCACATTCACTGGGATATTGCTCTTCTGAAACATGAATCAAACCCTTTGTACAAATAAAACATGTATTTTTATTTATGTTTTTAACCCAAGGGTCTGGAGGAGACGAAGAGGGTGGGCAGGAAACAGATTATGGGAGCAGCAGGTGAAATGATGTCTGCATGCCGAAAGGCGACTAATGTGGATCGTCTACAAGCAACTGAAAAGAGGAAAAACCTCAGGCACAAATGACTGTGTCTTTAGATGGAGAGCCAAACATCCACTGTCTTCTGCAGCAAGCACCAATTAATTTTCAGTCAAACATGCCGTGACTAATTGGCCTCTTGGGGGAAATGTTAACATGTTTACGAGACAAAATTGACATATTAAGAACTTGTTAGCAGCAGTCCCTTATTTGAAAACCCACAACAAATACAAACTACATATCTTTTTATGTTAAGTCGTGTTTATAAAGACCTGATAAATGAAAGTCCTAACCTATTGATAGAGAATAAATGTATATCCTTTTACACCTGTACTCAATAAAGGAAGTCAATGAGAATTTCTGAGTCAACCATACATAAAGATATAGTTACGTTTAACTATTTGGACTATATGAAGATAAAACAGGTACGTCCTACTGACAAACAACATGCAAATTGAACCTGCATCTGCTTTCTCCCAGCCCCTATTTTTGAGCTCTGTAATATCACTTAGCTCAGTGTTTTGGTTTTACAGCTCCAACGTTTTAGTTGAATCTCAACACTCTCACAGTGTTTTGTTCTCTTTTTTCTTTTTTTTTTTTTTTTTTACAGCAGAAGGAAGTATTGTAAGTCAAATAGCAAACATGCCACATGAAAAGAGGGAGAGTTCAATATGTTAACAACTTTTCAATATTAGGAGTGTTCTCAAAAAGTTTTGAAAAAGTTGTGAAGTAAATCAACACACAGCAGAAGTCAACAACAACATTTAACATGAGAACAAAACAGGGGAACCAGATTTAGTGAAGACCAAAAAAATTATTTTTTTTAAAAATCAAGAGAACTGAAAACACAACCTGAAATGAAATGGCTTCTCATTTGTTGATAGCCTTTGCAACATTTGAACTTATTTCAGTTACTGCAGGTTTTTTTTTTTTTAATCTCAATGTAAGTTGAAACCATAGACTGTAAATAATACAGTGTATTATATTATTATTATTAGACTGTAGTTGAAGCCTTCTTCTCAGGGGCTTCAAAGCAACAATTATTGATTTATTTAAAAGATTCATCATACTGCATTTAATTAATCATAAATCATAAATCAATAAATCAATAAATCAATAAATCATAGGCTACTCTCCCTATTTTTATAGGCAGCACTGGTTTGCGGTAACACTAAGAGAGTGACCTATAGCTGTATATTAACACAGGCAGGGTGAACTTTCAATTAATTAAAAAAAAGTTTACACTTTACACAAATTAAAAACAAAACGGAAATAGCCTATTGAAGATTTGTATATTTTCTCCGGGGAAATTGTAATTCTCGCGTTGGCCGCTAGGTGTCAGTGTGACGCTGCCCTACTCTTTTAAACTGAACAGGTTGCCTTCACGCACCTTTTCTCCCACTTTGCCTGTCACACTGTAAGCGTCCTCGCACAGGGCTCGGAGCTCATCATACACTGCGATACAACAAATATATAACAGGGTAACGAAAGAGAAACTGTCTTATCTTTAAAGAATATCATCAACTTGGTGGCAAAAGGGACCAGACTGTCTGACAGAGATGAAGAAAAGGTGAGCGTCGTGGGAGGGCGGGCCACCTGTGACGGCAAATGAGTGGAGAGGAGCTCCGGTCAGTCCCACTGTCAGAAGCCTAGCCCCACTGTGTGTGTGTCATCCAGTGGGTGTTTGTGTGTCAGTCAGTGTACTCACAGCGCGTTTAAAGTCCACTTGGATTATCGGGAGCTCAAGGAAACGTATATCTTTATCTTCGAGGAATTTGCACAGCAGGTAAGACAAACTGAACATTACACTTCTTACACCTTTCACTCAGTGTTGGGTTTTCCTTCATATTTGTGTTACAATTAGATACCTTTACAATATTTCAACCCTACAGTGAAAGTCTCGTTGCCTGAACACATGCCTAATATTCCTGAGATAATTGTATCACCTCCTCTTTAAACTATATGGGAATTGAACATAATTATGCGTTATTTGCTCTTCTGTAGAAGCCCAATTCAGACTAAGCTGATGAGAGATCTGACATCCCAAGTTTGTGCTCTATAATTTCTGCATTTAAAACACCAGTATGTCTCTTCCTGCCTCATTACACTGCATCACAGTATGCCTCATTTACATTGGTGGTATGACTTTCAATCTGATAACTGATCAACGTGCAAACTGAAAGGTGCAGCTGGTGATTCATAGTATGTGAATGAGATATGGCAGTATGTCAGCTGAACAGGTCTGATTAGGGTAAATCAGATGTAAACACATACTGATGATGATGCTGAAGGTGTTTAAAAGCTGGATTAATCTTTTCTTAAGAGGGGCAATCAGCCATCTCCTCATCAAGCTGATGGGTTTTATACCTGTGATCTAATCATTAAAGGAAACCCAGTGAACACACTGATCAACTTCTTTTGTCTTTTAATGACCGAGGATGGAGTAGTGTATTAAGTGAAAGGAAACGTGTTAGATATGCCAGAAAGGACAAATGATAATCACATTATGTTATGTTTTTCAAAGAATAGTCTCACTTGATTTGAACTCATTCCTATTTAAATGTCAGTTTGGTTCATTTATGATCATGTTTGTATAAAAACCCGTCACCACTGCTTGTTATAGAAACTCAATATTCTGCTGCAGCCTCTAATTTCGATTTGGCACAGTCCAAAGGGACAACACTGATAATCTTTATGAAAAGCTCAGAGTCAGGCGTGACGTCTGCCCTATCCGTGAAAAACAAAAGGATTGTTTTCCCTTTGTAATATCTTCACTTATAACACATATCCTGAATCATTTTCAACATACTGTAGGTTTGCAGACTTCTTATATTGTATTAAAAACATGTCTGTCTGTTTTGGAAGAGGGATTCTGCCTTTGTTGGTCTGCCTCACAATCTTTCTCTTTTTCAAACCGCATTTTTGAGATCCAATTTGTGATTTGGGGCTAGATAAAGTTCAGACCGTTTTCTTTTCTCTTTTCTTTTCAGCCTTTTAAAATGTGAGATATTATAACCCCTTTTGTCAAATGAGATTGATCAATGTTAAATGGGTTAAAACTAGAGATGATCATATACGTTCTTTTGTGATTCCCATAACTTAACTTTCATTTTGGCCAACACCAAGAAGCCATCTTCTCCAGTGCAATAATAAAGACGTTAATTAAAAGCTGTAGGTTT